AGCTCTTTAACACCTGAGGGAAATATAGAAGTTGATTAATGACCTTCACCACATGGAAAACAACAGCAAAGTTACCAAAATAAATTACTGTCTCAACTTGAAATCTGTGGATTAAGATCGATGTGAGTCATTTGTTGTATAAAATTTCTATCAAATATCTATTTTGTACCACAGATTAAAGCCGTAAATTTACATCTATGAAATACATGCTTCTCTCGCGCGGTTTCACACAATTCTCGGCTCCATTTGATCGTAGCGTGATGTTGTATAGCCTATGGCACACAGGAACATTGTAGCTATCTATTAGTGAAAAAATTTTGGCCATCCGACCAGGCATCGGTTCCCCCTATATACAAACTTACAAATTTTACCTCTTTATAATATTAGTATAGATTATATTGTCAGCTCAATCAGGTTCTCTATCAATATCAGTCTAGTGTCCTTAAAACGCAATCAAATAAAGATAATATTATAAACAAATGATAAAAAAAACAAGGTGAAATATCTCTTAGCCTGTAATCCATACTTTTTAAATAATTTTCGTTGTTTCATATAAGCAAGCAATTAAAATTGACAATCGCGATTACCTAATAATCAAGTAAATTGCCCTTATTATGCTATTTGAAGTTATCAATATTATTGATAATATTTTTAATTATCGTTGTACTGAATGTCGAAATACGAATAAATACTAGCTACTCTCGCGCGGTTTCACTCGCTGCTCGACTCCATTTAATAGTAGCGTGGTGTTTCATACCCTATAGCACTCAAGAACATTGTAGCTATCTATCAGTGAAAGAATTTTAGCAATCCGGCCAGCGGTTTCTAAAGATTACCCCCTACATACAAACTTACAAATGTTACCTCTTAATAATATTAGTATAGATTTGTCAAACTGTATACATACATGAAGGTTACAAATTAATGATAGTATAAATAGGAACAGAAAAAAAGAAAAAATATGATAAACCTCATTAGTTATTATTGTAGTAAAAATAGAATTTCATATAAGTATGATAAAACTAATCCATAATACTACTGATGGTTAGATTGTATCAATATAATAAATTTATCTTATCTATAATCTGAATAATGTAGACTATTTTGTTTTCAAACACACACACGTATTTTTATTAAGACACGTTTATTGCTGTTTGTACGGTGGTACCGTAAAGGACTAGTTACGGAGATATTTAATAAGTTTAAATAATAAATAGCAATGTTAGCCCTTATTTGTAAGGCGGGGTTGCGGGTTAAGCGCAGGAGAAGGGAGAAGGAACGGGGGAAGGGGAGGTTTAGTCAGTAAGAGTTTGACACTCTCTCTCGCCTTACCCTGGCCGGGAGAAGCCATTTGATGACTCTCCACTGACAAAAAATCTCTTATTTGCAATAATGCCAAGAAAAATATACATAATTTATAATTAATATCTATTTGTGCTAATTTATAAATAAGATATAAAAATAAATAAGAAAATAAGGCAAGGGAAGGAAATGTCATAACAGTATTTTTTGGGTAATATTTTTTCTTATTATCGTAGCATTGGACCCAAAATAATCCCTTGAGGAAACTCGTTCTTACTATATTTGTTGAGACACATCGACATTGATTGGTCCTATCTATATTTAGAATAAAGCGTGTTACATATTCACTCTTAAATATGAATAAATACGAGAAGTTATTAATAGTTATGCACCTGGACTAGCTTCTTGCCAATTTACTTCATTACTAGACAAGAATATTTAAAACGTATCCGTATTTTTGACAATTTTGCGAATGCAACATAGAAGAATCCAAAGTCTAAAGTTAACTGTAACAAAGTGTATAGTTTTAACTTCAAAGTTAAAAAATCACTAACAGTTATTGATATGTTACATTATTGTAATCAGACAGCTATTAATCTTATCTCACGTGCGGAATATTTCCATTCGATAACTGACTGCTAACATTAATTTAAACTTACCACTAGTCTTCATTAGATCTTCTTAGTAGTTACCTCTTTGCGTTCCTTCGTTTCTTTTTTTATTTAAATTGTGTTTGTTTATGGCTTGGTGCACGGCGGCCAGTGTCATTGTTATAGCGTGGCTGTAGTGTTGTGTTAAATGCCAATATTATTTTATAACTGTGTTCGGTTTGTAGCGAATATTGCTTATAGCGGGAGGCGTAAAATATTAATAAATAACATTATGTAGAGTTGTGTAATACTTATCTTTAAATGATTACACAATTTCACTAATGAACTAATTTAAAAATACTAAAAGGATAATTTTATCATCATATCGCCATTTTATTCCTCCCGCAGTATCGCTAATTAAACTGAACGGAACAAATATCAAGTTGATACTAGTTTTTATCAGTGTCTGAACAACTAACGTACATGGACAACGCATGTGCTTCGCGCCAATGTAAAAGTGGTATTGGCTGAAAACTAATATTCGAATCATTGGATGATGTAAAAAAAGTCAAGTGTAACACCGGAATAAAAACTTTATCGTTCGTCATAGAATGTGAATGAGTTGAAAAAAAAGTTTTTTGGCTGTGGTTTTGAAAATGGAGGTTCCTCCGCCGCCGGTGACCATAAATGCAGTGCAAGTGCTGTACCTGGTTGGCATGCAACATTTTGTTAGTATTTTTCCAATTATTCGTTATCTGATAAGGGAATCGTGTACTATTGATTAATAAATAATTGTAATCTCAATGTTTATCTTTAGAGTTTAACTAACATTGTTGAGAAGTTCACACGGCCCACTGAGAGTGTCTATACATTGTAGATAGTTAACTCAAGTTTATCAAGCCAAAGATCAGATATTTCAATATAATTGTCAATTATAATAAGTTGCATGTCGTTTTGCAATTACTTCAGATGATAAACTTATAAATCTTGACCTGTTGAACGACTTGACTTTTTGTTGAAAGGTTTTCACACTTGGAGAATTGGATTTGTTTTTTATTAGGTAATATTAAGAGAGAGAGAGATAAGTAAGGAAGATTTGTATTTATAAAGCACTAATTAATGCTAAAATACTAGAAAAAAGCAAGTTCAGTTTTATCATGTGTCCATTGCTGCGTAAAAGCCTCTTAACACGGAGCTGCAAGCGGATTGGCGAACGCAAACTTACAATAGAAATTATAAGTCCATGTTTTCTCACGATGTTATCCGTCAATGTATGTCACTCAAAAGTCAAAGTCGTATATTGTAACAGTAGTCTGTTGGATCTTTGGGGCACCCACCCCTATTGCCAACGCTGAAATCTTCAACTTGTCTGCAAAATTCTTGTGTTACTAACAAAACATAAAATAACAAAAAATAAAATAATATATTGGCTTAATAATAATAATCTTATAATTAATTTAAATAAAACCAAAGTAATGCACTTCCACCAACGGCTTAAGAAACCAGAAATTAATATTGCTTATGAAAATAATGAAATTGAAGCAGTTAGTACCGCAAAGTTTCTAGGTATAATTATAGACAACAAATTAACTTGGAAACCTCACTTAGAGGAAATTTGCAAAAGGTTAAGTAAATCAGCATACTTGCTATTTCAACTCTCAAAAAAAAGTGAACACTGATACGCTACTAACAGCCTATCATGGACTGGTAGCCTCAATTCTGCGGTATGGTCTTATTTTTTGGGGACAGTCAACAAATAGGGAACTTGTTTTCAGGATGCAGAAAAGATGTTTACGGGCTATGTGTGGTCTAAAAACCACAGATAGTTGCAATCCATATTTTAAAAAGCTAAAAATATTACCTCTGCCATCTCTATACATCCTGGAAGCTGCATTATTTGTAAAAAACAATCCACATTCATTCAAAAAACTATGCTCAGTAAAGAAAACTCCGATGCGTGCTCAATATAGGAATGATCTATGCCTTGTGAAATGTAATACTTCTCTAATGAAGAAAAGCTTCTTCGGTGTTGCTCCACAAATATATAACAAAATACCCAATGAAATAAAATGTCTACCATTGCAGAAGTTCAAAAAAACGCTTAACGGGTTTTTGCTTGAAAAATGTTATTATACACTAGACGAGTTTCTTAATGACGAATCACTGTAACCGTAACGATTTGATTTTACGACCCTTTGATTTTAATTCTTTTCAATAATTTTTTTTTTTTTTTTTTTTTTTACCAATCACGGGACCACAGGGTCCCGGTCATTTGGAAGGCGTACGAATTATTATAAAACGTATTTGCACTTGTCAATGTTGATACAACTGCAAACAACACTGCACATTGTTGAAGCCGCCAGTTTTAATATTTGTACACAATTTACTTGTATCTGTATTTTGCATGAGTGGTTTACAACATAAGATAGGTAACTTCCTCTGGTTGACTGCTCTAATGTTAAACTGCCGATCATGTGGTCCAGGTTGGAATATGGTTCAACCTAAGTATGATAGGGATTTTTTATCATGAGAATGTCAATGTCCGATGCAAGTTCAATTACGTACTGGGGCCCGGCTCGGTGCAGGAAAACGGACGGGGTATTTTTAGTCAATAAGAATCTGGCACTCATATGAGGAGTCATAGACTGATTTTATCATAAAAGGTGATTTTTCACTTTGTGTTCACCAGAACAAGGAAACCAAGGGAACCAGAGTACTTCTAATCTTTTCTCCTAACCATTTTACGAAATTTGTTTTAGTGTTAATGGAGAAGTTACTGCATGATCCCCCATCGATGTTTAGGACAAAGCCCGTGTGACTTGCATTGCTTGTACCACAATACTAATTGATCCTATTTAAGGCTTCATCTTGTTGAGAAAAATATATTTGTTTCTTTCTAAGCTGGATAGTGATTCACTTGAATTGCTTCTCCTATCTCCTAGTAGCCAAACCCTCAGTCTGGTTGAATTGATTTGAATAACTAAAGTGAGTAAAAAAATTGCATTTGTAAAGAGACGTCTGTGAATGAACTACGGTATTATTATTCCGCTCTTTGTGCCGTGTCACATCTAGACAACAGTAGAGCAATGATATTGTCCTTTCTTGCAGATAATGGAGGAATTTCGTGACATGCCGGCTAGTTTCGGCAACGACCTGCCAGCTGATGGTCTGCGCGGGTTCCTAGTCGCCGGCGAGCCTCCAGACGGTTGCTCCCCTCTCCCCAACCCGCCGACTGTTGACAACTTCACGGAAAAATGGATAGTACTCCTTGCAAGGTAAGAAATAGTCCTTATCCATTTACTACTTTAAAGATACTTCAATAGGTTTTTCTTTAAAAGATTTTCGATCCAAGTGTGGGAGAGCCATGCTTCGGCACGAATGGGTCGGCTCGACCGGAGTGATACCACGGCCTCACAGAAAACCGGCGTGAAATAACCACTGCGTTGTGTTTCGCCGTGTGAGTGAGGTTACCAGAGGCCCAATCCTTCCCCTTCCCCAATCCCTCCTCAATCCCTAAATCTCCAAATCCCTAATCCCTAAAAGGTCAGCAACGCACTCGTAACTCCTCCGTTGCGAGTGTCCATGGGCGGCGCTGATTGCTTACCATCAGGTAATCCGTCTGCACGTTTGCCGAGATATTACATAAAAAAAAAAAAAAAATTCGATCAAAAGTTACTGTAGTAATTTGATAAAACCTGGTGGCAAGCAATCAGTTTTAGAGACTTGGGATGGGGGTGGGGAGAGTTCTATGTTACTTTCAAAGTGTGGGAGAGCTAAGCTTCGGCACGAATGTGTCGGCTCGACCGGAGTGATACCACGGCCTCACAGAAAACCGGCGTAAAACAACCACAGTGACTCGTCAAATTATTACGTGCGTAAGTCGAAAACATAATAATTAATTTAGAATGTCTCACGAAAGTTATAATAAAAACGACAGCGTTGTTTTTGGCCGTGTGCCCCTAGCTGGGCCCTCCCTCCCCTATCCCTTCCCAATCCTTAAATATCCACAACCCTTATCCCCAAAAGGCCGGCAACGCACTCGTTACTCCTTAGGGTGTCCATGGGCGGTGCCGATCGCCTACCATCGGGTAATCGGTCTGCTCGTTTGCCGTAAAACGTATCACCAAGGCATCATTAGTACATTGTCGATAATGGAAGAAATCGTTTATTATGTTATGACCTATATGTCAGTATCGAGGAAACTAATTGTATTAGTCTATGCTTCTGGTCGGATATCCAACCCTGAGTTTGCTTCTAGAAAAATAATATTAGCTACTTACTTGTTGCACCACCATGAGGCAATTGATAGAGCTGTCCCTCTGATGTCACACGCTAAACGATAACACAATTGTAACACAATATGTGGTGTCTATTACAGTGATATAGAATTGTACCTAATACGAGTAAAATAAGGGTAAAAATTAATTAGGTATAAAACAAAATAGTCTTTAACTTTCTTAACAAAAACACTTTTAGTTTCTTTTCGAAAAACAGGAACTTCAGTTTGGAACGATAATGGGAAGTACTAAAGGATAAACTATCTGGTATACATATGAATTAATTTGATTTTCTTCCAGATACAACTGCAGCTTTGAAGTGAAGGTCCGCAATGCGCAGGCGGCTGGCTACGATTGCGCCATCGTACACAATGTCAACTCCAGTGATCTCGGTGAGTGGTCAGCCTCTTTGAACTAACAGTTAAACCCATATTTATATGCGGCATTCTATATAAATGGTTTGTGGGGTAAATGCAATGACGCACCGCGGCCTTGACCTAGAGCAAGAGCAAAAACAGGGGCGTTTTAGTCAGTAAGAGTCTGACACTCCCTTCGCATATATTTTTACATACTTATATGTAAAAATTGATCGCAAAAAGTGTTGGTACGCGCATAACTCAAAAACGCCTGGACCAATTTTGAGAACTATTTTTATGTTGTATTTATTAAAATATTTGAAAAGTAGAAGGGGAAAATTAGAAAATGAAGCCCTTTCGTTGCTAGTGAGATAGTTGGACCCGCGCAATGTGGGGGCGAGCCGCTAGTTATTAATATAAATATACTTTGTTTATGATAAGAAACAACTCAAGAAATTCAAAAGATCTTCATTAAAAACCAGTCACTATCTGTATGGCAATAAAGCTCAAAATGGCACATTCGCAATTTCTCTCGAGGGCATCCCTCCAGCTTCCCCAGACTTATCTCCCAACAACGGCATTGTTGTGATAAACTTGTTTGCATACAGACGCAATAGGCGTCTACACTATTGCTTTTTTTATACTGAATAAAATATTTTTACAATGCAAGCCGTCTCTACGACATTTCTGTTCCTAGTAAGTGAAATGTTTTCACGTATCTGGAAAGTTTGTGAGTGCTATTCGAAAAGTGTTCGTGTATTGTGATGGAAAACAACAGAAAAATACTTTATAGGTATCATAAAATAGGTATAATGCAACAATGGCCAGTATTGACTTTTTGAATAGTTAGTGATCAGTCTGTTGTTACTGGCACGGTCTCTAAAAAGAGCGGCTTGAAACAACGGTTGTTATAGGGTGTCGCTGTGTGAGTGAGGTTATTGAAGGCCCAATCTCTCTCCCTCCTCCCAATCTTAAACTTCCTCATCCACTAAATCCCCAATTCTCATATTCCTATCCCCTAAAAGACAGCATGCTTACCATCAGCTGATCCAACTTATCGCTTCCTAACCTATTCCATAAAAAACTGTGAGTCAGGACAGCGTTAATTATAGGATTTTGATATAGGTATGTTTCGTAATAGGAAATTTTCATTATTGTAAAAATAGTGGGCACTGCTAAGCTTAGGATATCAAAGAATTAAAATTGTAAGTTGCATATAATCCAAAATATGAAATGTACAGTAAAATGCTAATCACAAGAGAGCCATGACTAATGTTTTTAAAATTTAATCGTACTAATATTATTAGAATGTGAAAGTTTATACGTTTGTTGATCTTTAAAGCAGAGTAGTACTTTAAAAAAAATACTAATCGGGTTTGACGATGGGATACATGTTGATACAAAAGTAGATTGTAGTCTGGAAATCATACTACTTTTTATCCCCGTAATGAGGACAAAGCCACTAACAGAAATTAGTATAACATAAAATTTGTCCTAGTCTGTTCAACGTCTTTAACATTATAAACGCAATAGTTTGATATTCTGATGAATTAATGTTTGTTACTATATCACGTATCCAAAAACTACTGAATAACCTTCAATGAAATTTGGCACAGAGATAGATAATAGTTTGAAAGAAAAAAAAAATTGGCACACAGTCCATACAGTGCCGAAAACCATAAATTAAACAACTAGCTACTCTCGCGCGGTTTCACCCGCTACTCGGCTTCATTTCATCGTGAACATTATAACTACATATCAGTGAAAGAATTTGGGCAATCCGACCAGCGGTTCCAAAGATTATCCCCTACATACAAACTTACAAATTTTACCTCTTTATAATATTAGTATGAATGAATGAATGAATGAATGAATATTCTTTATTGTACACCATAATAATAAAAACATAGGAAACATAAACACAAAATATAGTACAATTGGCGGTCTTATCGCTTAAAAGCAATTTCTTCCAGACAACCTTTGGATGGAGTTTAACTGTAGAAGAATTTGATACGGGCAGTTTACGGCGTACATATACATTATAATAGTTTAAAACATAGTTTAAGGATATATATATATATAATAAATAAACAAATAAGAAATTAAATATATATATATATATATATATATATATATAAATAAATCATAACAATAGTTATAGCGATGATGGATATGTTACTGAGCCATGTAGTGATCGTTCACCATTTTCTTAAAAACTGCTAGCGACTGCGCACGTCTAATCGTCACTGGCAAAGCATTCCACAGACGCGTGGCCTGTACAGCAAACGACTTATCATAAAAAGACGTGGAGTGTACTGGCATCTTCAGTTTCAGGTTTTCCGATGACCTAAGAGATCCTGAATGCGTGTCACAGACAAACTCAACACGATTTTTGAGGTAAAAAGGAGTCGTTGGGTGAAAAAGAATACTGTATAGTAAGGAAAGTATGTGAGCATTCCGACGAAGTCGTATTGGAAGCCACTTGAGCTTAGCACGAAATTCTGACACATGATCATACTTGCGCAAACCAAATATGAATCTTATACAAACATTTTGAAGTCGCTCAAGTTTATTAAGTTGGTCCTCTCTGAGATCAAGATAGCTGGCATCGGCATAGTCAAGAATGGGAAGAAGGAGAGATTGTGCAAGCGCAACCTTTGTGGCAATGGGCAAGAAGTTTTTCAGCCGTCTTAAGGATCCTACAGATGCAAATAACCGTCGACTGGTTTCCTGAATCTGCGTCTCCCAGGACATTCTGCTATCAATGTAAACTCCTAAGTTCTTGACCTTATTGCTAAACGGTACCTGGATGCCATCAAAAATAACCTGCGGGAGGTCAAACCAGTCAATTTTAGAAACCATCCGTGAACTACCAATAACAATCAACTGGGTTTTTAGCGGATTGACTCTAAGCCCGTAGCATCTGCTCCACTCGGCTATTTGGGAAAGGTCTTTATTAATAATTCCAATAGCCTCTGGTAATTTTCCCAATGGAGCCTGCGAGTAAATTTGAAGATCATCTGCATAAAGGTGGTAGGAGGAAAGCAAATTGTTTGAGATAGAGTTAATAAATATAGCAAAGAGCAATGGAGATAAAACGCCACCCTGCGGCACACCAGCAGTCGTTTCACACCATGAAGAGTATTTATCTTCAATGCGAATACGTTGCCGGCGTCCGTACAGGTAACTACGAAACCAATCAATGGCCGTTGGAGATATGTTAAGGGAGCTAAGTATACCGAGCAAGATATCGAAGTCTACGGTATTAAATGCGTTACTGAAGTCTAGCAGTGCCAATACCGTTAACTTGCCACCTTCCATACCTAGTCTGATATCGTCAGTAATGTTGACTAGCGCTGTGACAGTACTGTGACCAGGACGGAAACCGGATTGAAAGGGATTAAGAAGTCTATTCTTGGATAGGAATGAGCTTAGCTGGTTATGAATAAGACGTTCTAAGACTTTGGATAGGAATGGTAATATGGAAATAGGACGATACTCGGAAAAGGATGTGGGATTGGATTTTTTTGGTAATGGGGTAATTTGGGCCTCTTTCCAGGAATTCGGAAAAGCACCAGTGGATATAGAATAATTAAGGATGTGACATATTACAGGAAGGATTTCGTCAAGGATAGGGAGGATCATTTTACGGCTGACACAGTCACTTCCAACGGCATCAGAGGTGATGGATAAGATGCTCTTCTTAACATCACAAGCGGCCAATTGATGGAAGAAAAAAGGTGAAAAATCAGGGGTTGGAAGACTGGAGAGATGACTTAAAGTTTTTAATTTTGTTGTCCTGTCGAAATTAGACGAAGATGAAAAATGACGATTTAGCAAATTTATGTTTATATTTTGAGACATTTTATCGGTACGTGACTTTCCAATCCCCATTGATCGAAGAAATCTCCAGACCTTAGCTGGATCCTCATTTTCAACAGATGTGTGGAAGTGTTGGCGTTGTGCGTTTCTACACACCTTATTGCAGAGATTTCGTGCATTTACAAATTTTTCCCAATTGGAAGGCGTAGTACGAGCCCTGTATCTCGATTTAGCAGAAACCTTCTGGGCCATTAACTGCTTTATTTCGCTTGTGAGCCAAGGCGATGGCAGGTGTCTCACCCTAATCGCGCGAACAGGTGCGTGGACGTCATAAATTGCTACTAGCTTTGACGTAAAAAGGTCTACTTTTTCGTCTACTGACTCAGCATCAAGAACAGATGCCCAGTCCGTATTAGCGGCGCACTCGCGGAGATTTTCAAGATTTATGCCACCAAAATTGCGCTGCAGAAGAATTCTTGCCTTTGCTTTGGGAGGACGAATTTTATAAGAAAGATAGATGAGATCGTGATAAGAGAAAGCATCAGCCGAACATTGGCCATGTTTGGCGACGTGATCAGAAGATGATACGAAAATTAAGTCAAGAAGTGAAGGAGTACAGTTAGGGAAATGATGAGTTGCATTTAGAGGAAGTATTGATAAGTTGGTAGAATGTATGACAGAATTAAGAGATGCAGATCGAGAATCATTTTTAAGAAGACAGGTGTTAAAATCACCCATGATAATGACGTGACTGTAAGAAGTTACTACATTTTCCAAGAGTTGTTCTAAAGAGGTAAAGAAATTTATGCGTAGTGAGGGACAGTAATAGACTCCAAGTAGAACTTTGGTGTGGCTCATATTTAGTTCCAGAAAGAGATGCTCGCCAGCGTTTGGGGGAGGTGGCTGCGTTGACATATCAACAATTGAAAAAGAAATATATGAGCGGAGATATATGGCAACGCCGCCACCGCCCCCAACAGTGCGATCATTTCTCACTAACTGAAAACCTGGCAACATATAAGCCGGTGTCGGGAGACAGGGCTTAAGCCACGACTCAGAGACAAGAATTGCATGAACATTCTTACAGTCAAAACTTGCCAGCATATCGGGGAAATGAGCCGGAATGCTCTGTGCGTTTATGTGCACCACATTAAAATTCCTAGGAACATCAGAAAATTGCGCAATTAATGTATCTGAAAGTGAAGGTAGACTTGCGAAACTGTCATCGCTACTATTGGCTGAAAAGAAAGCATCCGATTCGCTACTATCGTTATGAGAAGACATAAAATATTAAATAAATAGTAGAAAATAAAAATAAAATATAAATTAAATAAAAATAGCAATAATAATAAAAATACACTTAGCTAACGGTTAAACCGTCCACCTGCCGGCTGTGCTAGGTAAATGTACAATTTATGAATATTTGAAGAATAAAACATAATAATCAGCAAAAGAAAAGAGAAGAAAAAAAAAAGAATTCTAACATAAAAATAATTTTGGTAAAAAATATTTTTTAACGTAAAAACTCTAATAGTTATGCTGGTCTCGAGTTTCGGACAATAATAATAATTTCCAAAAGGCACCATCAAAAACACTATCGAGAATATCAGTTCTGAAATTATAAAATTTTGACAGCCAACATGAGTGTCAGTAAATAGGACGAGAATACCTGTCGTGCAATTAAGTGACAGTTGCACTTAGCTGTCTCTAACTCGTTTGACATCTATCTTATTTTATTATTGCACCCACTTGTACGCAATATTATCATTTAATTTTACTATATAAAACAAACTAAAAAAAAAACAAACAATGAGAAAGAAACTTAACACAGTGTAGAAAGTGGGTGTGTTAATGTAAAAATATAAAAAAAAAGTAATACTACCCGGACCCAGCACAACAAAGATAGGAAATTCCGCCCCCAAGACGACCCACTGACCAATTACTTTTTGATGGCAGCAGCACGCTTGGACCTACCAGCAATGATGGGCTTCTGTGGAGTGTCGACGATTTCAGGCTCTATTGGGAACTTCATAGCATCTTGCGGTTTTAAAGTGCCTATGTCTGCGAAGGTTGTAATGCGACGCCGCGACCCATCGGGTGCAATAACATAAACGCAGCCGTCTCTAGTCCAGCACTTACTCACACCAAATTTCTTCCGCGCAGCCATGAATAAGTCATGCCTCGACTTGGTCAGGAACTCCGAAATGGTGATACCGGCACCTTTTAATTGGGTTTTCTTAAACCAAATATTGTCACGGACAGCTACATCCCGGAGTTTAACTAAGATTGGCCGTGATCTTGAAGCAGAAGCAGTCTTTCCCATCCGATGGCTCCTCTTAATGTCTGCTAATGTGAAGCCACTCACCTTCAAGCGGTCCCTGACAACATCCACAACAAGTTGCGCTGCATCCTCCTCCTTATCCTCCGGGACACCATGCAGCAACAAGATGCCTCTCCGCCCACGCATCTCCATGGAGTCAATATTCCTGGCAAGCAGTTCTACCTGTTGCTGCAGAGTGGTGACGGCCTGAGTTATGAAAACCCTGAAGCTGAAGAACTCGGCAGCCAGGTTTGATGTGTTGGATGGCTCTGCTGGTTCTCTTTGCAACTGTGCCTCAAACTGTGCCATTCTCTTATTGAAGAGATCCATAAGACCAGCGACAGTGTTGTTGATAGGATCCATTAGTGTTGTCAGGATGACAGTAGACAGTAAAAAGTTTTTTTTTTTTTTTTTTTTGTGAATTGTGACAAAACACAAAGAAGAAGAAAGGAGAAAACACTTGCCGGCAGGTGGCTCTATCTAAGCTTTACTTCTATACATTAATTAGTAATGTAAGTTTGATAAATAAATTTTATTTATAATTTAAACTGGAGCAAATTTATTTTGTTGTTGATTAGGCAACTACCCGCCCTACTACCTACTGTACTACGCCCTACTAACTACCTACCCTACTAGTATAGATAATAGAGAAAAAAAAAATGCGTGTCTTACGGCTGCGCCAAAGAGGTCCAAACAGTTTGGCTACATAGGCTTTTTGACCCTGGTACCGCGTGTGATAAGTACAATGAGTTCAAATGCACCAGTGCACTGGCTGGGTTAAGATAAAAATAATTTCCGTAGTTAATGTAAAAATAGAACGTTGTAATTACTTTATCGGTGTTTGTTCTACTAATAAGCTAGTTAAGAGGCTATGACATACAAAGTAAGCAAGTTTAATATCTTTATGTATTTTCAGTTCAGTTGCCCTGAGGGATTCTTAAATGAGTCTACATATTTATTTGTTTGTCGATCTGCGATTCTCTATTGTAATTTGTTTAAGATAAATAATATATGACAATGTACTTACCCTAAAGTAGTAATGACTTATCGCGCCCCAGGCGATGGATCGGGCGGTTTTTATTTAATAGGAGTCTGTCACTCCATTTGATTATTTTCCCAACAAAAAAGGGGTGTTGACTAATTTTTGCTTTGTAAATTAATGTTATAAGTATGTATGGTGATATACCAATTCAAAACTACGTATTTGTTATATCTGTGACTTATTACAAGTTTAGAGAGTGCTTTGCTTTTGAAAGAAAGATTTTTATTTGAAGAAAGAAAACATCACTTGAGTTCTCTCGCCCTATGTGAAGCGAGGGGGAGTGTCAACCTAATTGGCTAAAGCAACTTGTTCTATTTACTGTACCGCTACATTAATACCGTTTCACTAGTAACACATTCCGGTAAAAAAATCTACTATATAATACAAAAAATATGTTTCAAAAAATTATAAATATTAAATTGTAAATCCCTAAATTCCAAATGTTCATGGAGATGGTGGGCGTAGCTCAGCTTAGTTTGGTAAATTGAAGTACCTACATTATAATAGGTAATAATTCCTATAACATGTTGTCATACAAAATGTGCCTCTTATTCTTCAATTTTAATAACAAATGCTTCTTTATTAGTTTATAAGGAAAAAAATACATTTTATTCTTGTGCTCCATAAAAACAACACTCTATATCCACTTAAACGATAAGATTATTGGAGAATTAAATACAAAATGTTCAAACAAAGTTACCAGTACCTCACTGTACGCTAGAGTAAATAAGAACAATTACTGATGTTACCACTATCGTTCAATGAGTTTTCAGAATTCACACAAAAAGTCCCTAATGAATGACAGATAAAAAAAACGGTAATGATTACACAAATTTCATATTGCCGGTAACGGTGGCGCTGCTCGTCAAGGACGTATGACAGCCAACTGTCAAATTCAATACATTTCATTTTAGTTCCGAATATGGCCACTAGCATTAAATTAAATTGTTTTTTTTTTTTAACATGATGATATTCAAATGTTTGTTTACCTTTATTATTTTGTTCGCAGAGACTATGTCGGCAAAAAACCCGGAGGGGATAGAGATTCCGTCAGTTTTCGTAAGCGACCTCGCGGGCTTACTGCTAGCCGACGAGTACTTATACACTAGCGGGTGAGTCACTATGTCATTCGTAACTCAATAATAAAATAATGCGATAATGTGAAACAATTATATTGATTGTTGTGATAGTGATTTTAAAATGTGTTTGTTATTCGCCAACGCACGTTGTGTGGTACAGTTAGATGAGAAGGTTGTGTTAGTGGGCCGTTAGAGCTGTGCGCTCGTAATTTCACAATGTTTTGTGTGTGGTGTGCAATACGAAATAAATTTGCATCTATACAGAATTGTAAGTATAGTTCAGTTTTAATACAACTATTCAGTCCTGTTGAAAAGGGTGTTGAAAATTTTTATTTAAATATTAAAAAAAACAACTTGCTAAATAATGCTTTTATTATGTATTAATAGTACAAACAAATATCAGTTAAAATACATAATTCTAGTGAATATTTATTTAAGTCAAAATCATAATAATATTTTAAGTTTAGCTTATGCATACTAACAATTTGAATGAATGAGACTGTATAAAAAAGTTAAACTTATTTAGTTTAACTTTAAAAAAAAAGAAATGTCTGATGCCATACAAGACAAGACTTATATTACCTATGTGGTGGGTAAATTAGAATCAAAGTACTTATTTAATTTGAATGGAATATTTTCTATTGTAAGTATCTATATGCTGTAATACCTAAACATAACTGTAATTTATCATATATACGCATGATATTATTATATAATTTATTGAATTTAATAGTAAAGGCACCCTTAATTAAAAACTAGACTTACCTTTTGGGGGGAGGGAGGAGAGTTATCTACAAATGGCTTCTTCCGCGTTAGGTTGGGCAAAAGTGTGAAACTCTTATGCCAGGTTTCCAAAAGCCCGATCAATGTTAAAATCAACTAACTAGGTGTCAAATCTCTTGTCAAGTCATCTGATTGGTTGTTGATAATTCCGTCAACCAATCAGATGACTTGACAAGATATTAAATTGATTTTAACATTGACCGGCCTTTCGGAACCCTGTTGTTATTGGCCAAAAACGGCCCTGTTATTCTTCCATCTCCGAGCCGGGGCCGCAGTCACTGTTGCGCTTACACCAAGTCGCTGTTTTAGAAGCTATATATTTATCTGTATATAAAAGTCAATGCCACCTTTCGTTGTAATGTTATAACTCGACAATGCTTTTATCGATTTAGCCAATTTTGGATCTTGAATTATTCGTGGAAGTCTAGAGAATGTTTGAACGTAGAAAATTAAGTGTAAAATCGACATCCACGCGGGCGGAGCCGCGGGCGACTGCTAGTATTTATGTAATAATTAAGTTTTAAATTCGTACTGTCACTTCATGTATTAAGACATAGGCGTACTCTGGCTTACATTCGTTGCAGTGGTTATGTAAGGCGGTGGTAAGCATGTCCCATTAAAAAAAGTATGATTTTGTGATTCTTGTGTAATGTCAAAGTCAAAGTCATTTATTCCAACTAAACCATAAATAGGTACTTTTGAAACGTCAAAACAGAGAAGTAGTCTGTCAGTCTGTTCGTCTGCTAAGCTAGGTGCTCATTCCAAATTGTAGATTCGAATGGAGAAGAACGAGAAAGAAACACCATTCGTTACTCTTTTTAAAAAAAAATGTTTTACAATTTCAATAATATAACATTTATAGTATACATTATTGTACCCTTATGTGAGAACAATTCAGAGACAAGTTGTTAAAAAAAAATATATAATATTGTTTCAGTTTCTATATAATGGTGAACGGCGACCTCCCGTTCAACATCAACACACACCTGCTTCTGCCGTTCGCGATCGTCGTGGTGCTGTGCTTACTTGTTATCCTTATATTTATGGTACGTATTCCTATGTACATAAGGTTTGATATCCCATGGCATTTTGTACGAAAAATCGAGATGTGTATTTACATAAGCATTAAATGCACATCTCAATGAACTCTTTATACAGGGGATTTTTTAGTTTCAAAATTCTCAATAAATGTTTACTACTAGACGTGACTAGATATTTGTAGACGTGGACACAGGATATAATAATGTCAGAACGCCCATTGTTGAAAATTAAAGAAAATAAATTAATTAACCTGTGCTTTCGCAATTCGTGTATATTGATCAGATCTTAAACAATAGTTGTCCAAAAGTACCTGCCATATATAAAGTTTATTGTAAAAAGTTATATTAAAACATATTCTTTATTATTATTATTGCAATTTCAGATAGTGAAATGTATAAAAGACAGGCGTCGTGCGCGACGTCATAGGCTCCCGAGCCGATCTCTGAAGAAGATCCCGACCTGCAAGTTCAGCAAGGGTGACCCGTACGACACTTGCGCCATCTGCCTCGATGATTACCAGGAGGGAGAACGGCTCCGAGTCCTGCCTTGTGCGCATGGTAAGTTAACGATTAGGGCAAACCTAACTGTATTATTTAGAAAATTAAAAATATATATTCAATCCTTCCCTTCCCCTGACCCTTCCCCAATCCCAAAATTTCCAAATCTCTAATCCCTAAAAGGTCGGCAACGCACTTGTAACTCCTCCGTTGCGGGTGTCCATGGGCGGCGCTGATTGCTTACCATCACGTAATCCGTCTGCTCGTTTGCCGACTTATTTCATAAAAAAAAATATCAGAGGAAGTAGGCCCAATCCTTCTCCTTCCCCAACGCCAAAATCTCCAATCCCTCATCCTCAAAAGGTCGACAACGCAATCGTCCACTCGTCAACTCCTCCGTTGTTGCGGATTTCCATGGGCGGCGCTGATTACTTACCTTCACGTAATATCGCTATCATCACACGTTACTTAGCGACCCGGGAGGGTTGTCAAAAGCTGCGTTAATTTTATTTTACCTGATGGTGAAACAATCGTGGGCAACTTTTAACAGCAATTCTAGAAGTTACGAGGAGATTGCCCACTTCTTGAGGATAAGGGTGTCGAAGATTTAGCGAATGGGGAGGGATCCAAGTATGAGAGGAAAAGATTGGGTCACCGGTAACCTCACTCAGACGGCGAAACACAACGCTGTGTGTATTTCACGCCGGTTTTCTGCCGTGGTATTACAGCGGTCGAGCCGACCAATTCGTGCTGAAATTTGGCTTTTCCACACTTAGTATAGTATAGAGATATAACGTTGTATGTCCCCAGCGTACCACGCGGTATGTATAGACCCGTGGCTGACGCAGAACAAGCGCGTGTGTCCCGTCTGCAAGCGGCGCGTGTTCGCGGCCGGCGAGCGGCGCCGCCTGCATACAGACTCCGACGACACCGACACCGAGCCACTACTCAACGATAACACCGCTACACAGGTAATCATACACTCAAATCCACTAAACTCATCTATACTAATATTATAAGGAGGTAAAATTTGGGGGTAATCTTTGGAACCGCTGGTCGGATTGCCAAAATTCTTTCACTGATAGATAGCTACAATGTTCCTGAGTGCTATAGGCAATGAAACATCACGCTATGATCAAATGGAGCCGAGCAGCGAGTGAAACCGCGCGAGAGTAACTCGTGTTCTAATATAATATTTCGCTTTTTTCTTCTCAAATATATACTTCAGATTTATTTCTCATGAAATACAGGAAATATAATATAATTATGTTTGTATAGGGCGGTACGTTCGAGGAGCAGAGCGTGAATCCGTTCGTGCGCGCCACCGAGTTCATGCGGAGACTGCGCCGGGAAAACCAACAGAGGAATGCTGAGGTAAACTAATCAAAACATTAGACAGAGAGAGAGGGCGGGGAGAAAGAGGGAGAGCGGGGGGAGAAAGAGCGGGTGGTGGGGATGTAGGCGGGAGGGTGAAGAGACAGAGTGAGAGAGGGCGGGGGAAGAGAGAGGGAGAGAGGGCGCGGAAGATAGAGAGTCAGAAAGTAATGAGAAAGAGAAAGTGCGGGGGAAAGAGGGAGGTTGTGTAGATAGAGGGAGGGCGGGGGGAGAAAGAGCGGGTGGTGGGGAAGTAGACGGAGGGTGAAGAGACAATGAGAGAGGGCGGGAAAGAGATCGTGGAAGGGAGAGGGAGAGAGGGCGCGGGAGATAGAGAGTAAGGAGGTGGGGAGAGAGAGAAAGAGAAAGGGCGGGGGAAAGATGAAGAGAGAGGGCGGGGCAGAGAGAGAGGAGAGGTGGTCAGTGAGAGAGAGTAGTACTTCATGTATCAGACATGAAGTTCTAACAAGTTTAATTTTTAATTTTATTTCTTCCAAATTAAATTGGTGTGTTTTTTTGCAGGCGGCTTCACAATCAGAAGACAATGACGAGACAAACCACGTCAATGAAGATACGTAAGTATTTTATTTTAACTAGCTATTTTCCCTGGTCTCACACGGGTGACGTTTTATCTAAATTTGTTGTGTAGTTTTACCTCCGGTTTCCGAAAGGCCGATCAATGTTAAAATCAATATAATCTCTTGTCAAGTCATCTGATTGGTTGACTGAATTATCAACAACCAATTAGGGTGAATGAGGGTGATTGTGATGAAGTCTCTAATATTTATTTATTTTAGTCAGGTAAATGTTATCTGAGGAATAAAATTGTTGCTGTCACTGTCTTATACAAACATTCCGACGCAACATCATCATAATTATTCCCAGGTAACTTTTATTTAATCATTGAAAAATTAACCCTTAATAGTACGGTGTAAATCCAATTACACTACTCCATTCTTAGGTAAAAAACTTAATATTGACATAAGTAAAAGCAAAGAAAAAATATAACACAAATTGTACACACGATGGTTTTTATAAGTGTGAGAGGGAATGGGTCGTCTCGACCGAAGTGATACCACGGCCTCACAGAAAACCGGCGTGATGCAACCGTTGTGTTTCGCCGTGTGACTGAGGTTATCGGAGGCCCAATCCTTACCCTCCCCCTACCCCTAATCCTTAAAAGGTGGGCAACGCACTCGTAACTCTTCTGTTGCGGTTGTCCATGGGCCGGGAGGCGCTGATTGCTTATCATCAGGTAATCCATAAGCACCTGTGCATATTACATGGACAGATTATATGGCTTTACTTCCAGGAAACTGTTTTAAAGTTGAATCGTATGCGGTCATGGGGATTTAGCTCTATTAAACTTTCTGCAGGATGGTTGGGCAAACTGATGCTTTCTTTTTTTAAAGATATAAAGAAACTCGTTAAGCAGTTCCTAAGCATCAATTGACCGTGACTGTAATGTAATATAATGTGTACATATATATGTCTGATGTCGAATACATGCATATCGGAGAATTCAAGTTCCTTTATTCATCCTGTATTAATCCTGTCTGAATATCATGTTGATGTTTGACAGTGACTGTTGTCAGTTCAATCTTCCAGTAGTGTTAATGTCGATCGAGCTCGTTCTCTAGCTCCTGGGACATCACCGGCGCCGGGTGTGCGAACTGAGTGAGAAAAATTAGGATGGCGGACGAAAATGCATTTTTGTTTCTTTCTTTTTTTCTATATCTATGTAATTTGTTTGTCAGAGTGGAGTCGGGTGACAGAGAAGCGTTGCTGCCGGCGGTGGTGGCGGTGGGCACGAGCCGTGCGCCGGCCGTGAGCGGCGTGACGAGCGAGCGCCGGCCGCGCAGGTCGCGGCGCGCCCGCTCGCAGTCTGCGCACGCGCCGCGCGCCCCGCCCCCAGCCGCCCGCCTCCTACTGTCCGACACGCACTCCATCAACACCGAGTCCAACGGCGAGATCGGTACGTTACACGCTTACACGCCCACCGAAATGAATCATTCTATTTACTAAAAAAATGGCAAATGTACTTACTCAATGTTAGCGCCAGTTATGTTCCCATGAAATTCAATTTCCTCAAACAAACGACGTTTAGACGATAGCTGAACGAGTGCATACTTAATAGATTAAAATATTTGATTTGTATCACTAGTTTCTGCCACGGCTTCGCTTGCGCTACCCGAATGAAAAGTAAACTATAATCTAACTATATGTCAATTGTCATTGAAAAGTAACGAATATTAATATCCATCGAAAATTACAAACTTTCGCCTTAGGGTAGAGTTTTCAATAGTCTGATAAATATTATCTGAGGAATAAAATTGTTGCTGTCACTGTCTTATACCAACATTCTGACGCGACAGCATCATAATTATTCCCCAGGTAACTTTTATCCAACCATTGAAAAATCAACCCTAAGTACACTCGTTCTGCTTAATTTAAATGTCATTTATTTAAGATGAAAACGCTTAATAATGCTTTACTCAACCCGAAAACCCCACACAAGATCTCATGGAATCTTGTGTTACGTCTAAACAGTCCATCATTGATCTTGCGACCACTCCAAATAAGCTGTTATTTAAGAATTTAAGGGCCTGCTTCATTATGCTGAATAGCCTTTATGTACCAGATAAAGAATTTAAAACATAATTTGTATGAACTACGTGTCACATAAGTTTATCAGGTATCGGGGTTTATACTGAAACAAGCCCTTAATCTTCATGTAAGCCTAAGCTGTTTTGGTTCATCTTAGGGGAAGGGGAGTGGATCATCAAATATCTTCACCAGCCACGTGTGGTGCGTAAAATACAGTCAGACTCTTTTTGACTAAAAACCACTCTTCCTCCCGTAATACCATTCTCGTGTCTGCCGTCAATATATCACTATCTCTTCATTTGGATTTTCTTTTCTTTCGTTCGTCAGCACACGCTTCATCACATGATTTTCATTCATTCAGTTCCCATAAAATTCTCCTTTATTTTAGTGTATAAAAATCGAGACATCCTAGTCTCAATTTTTGATAATGAATTTGAGGAGAGTGCGGTAGATACGTCACTGCTCACTATAAACTTACTAAATAGTGACGTCACATCGTGTATCTTAATTTCGTTTCGTAAAAAAAGAAATGTGCGAAATGTGAAAAAATTCTTTAAAACAATGCCATCATACTACTATTACTAATGACCACTTTGTTGATTTCACAAAATTGTTGGACGAGCGATTTGGGGGAGGGGAAGGCTTCACTCACAAGGTGAAACACAGCGCTGTATATGATTCACGCCGGTTATCTGTGAGGCCGTGGTATCACTCCAATCGAGCCGACCCATTCCTGCCGAAGCATGGCTCTCCCACACTTGCTGTTAGATACAGAATTACAGAATTCTGATTTCTGTAACAGTTTCAAATACAGCTCTATAAATAGACTATCTATTGCCCGCGACTTTGTTCGCCTGGAATAGTGATTTTGGTTTATAATTTATCCTTTGTCCTTTCTCGAGTTCCAATCTATGTCTATACCAAATTTCACAAAAAAAGGTTCAGTAGTTTAGGCGTGAAGAAAAGACAGACAGACAGAGTTATTTTCGTGTTAATAATATTAGTTTGGATAGGTTTATGTTATGTATGGTTAGTTTCTAGGTTAACAATAAATTTTTAATGCAATTTTTTTTTCTTATTAATTTATTTACATTCCACTTAGTGAATAAAGTTATAAAAACACACTTAAATATAATTATACATGTCTTCATTCCTCGATATGTCGATGTACTCCATTTTAGATTTCTTTAACATTGTATTTCCGAAACAATTATGCTATTTGACGTTAAATATTATGACGTCACATGTTGAGATTTTATAAAAAAATCCTAGTTAAGTATCATTTTAATTTGGACTGGTTGGAAACTGCGTTATTATGGTAAAGCCGGCCATAAATGACAAGAAAATAATTTCGGTCCCTAAAACTTTAAAAGCGGCAAAATTGAATGCGAGTTGGTCCAAGCGTCTTTATGTTACTGTGAACAAACCCGCAGGGCATCAAAATCTCTCCAAAAGATGTCGCCGAGGTTAAGGCGCCTGTTCTCATACAGGGTGAGGGTTCTAAACCTGGCAAGTACCAATGTGACTTTTTCCAAGTTATATGTACTTTCTAAGATTTTATCATGAAGGAAATCTGCACTTATAAATTCCAATTATAAGTTTGAAGTCGCCAATATGCCTGAGTAAGCTTGTTGATTTAATGCTCAAATCTTCTCCGTGTGAGAAGAAACCTTTGTAGTAGGCACTTTTAGAGGCTGATGATCTGTTTGTGAATTTGTTTCATTGTTTGTCACCGTGTTTTCTTGTTTTGTATTTTAGCTATTACCTATATCCACTTGATTATGGTTATAATCATCTTCGTCGCCGTCTGTGTCATCAGCTCCCTATGGTCAGTACACCGCAAGTACCTTCATTCACATTGCACTAACTCCATATATACATCGTTTATGTACGTTTATTGTATATACTCTAAAAATTAACACTAACGTTAAACTACAATATTTGATATATTCGATGAGAATGAGAAGGATTAAATAGGTCTTTTTTTGCAGGCGTAGCAGCCCTGCCGGCGGTTCCTCAGTCGTCCTCGATCCCGCATCAGGTAGATTTATGAATAAGCCCTGGAAGCTACGGTTCTCATAGTTTGACCGTCAACACTCCACCGAGCGAGCACGCTCCCTCTATTGGCTCTGTCGCTCGCCCCTGTGTCGGCAACCATGTTATACGAAAATGAATCTAATGCGTATATAATTAATTTACTTTTTTCAATGAGCATTTTCGACAATCCCTGCACAAAAAATTTAATATCTAAATAATTTAAAGGTCAGTAATGTATGTAATAAATATTTATTTCGAATATTAAAATGGAATTGACATAAATCAGATTGGCTACATGGATTAAAAATGAGGTCGGTGTCACTGGGCGCTCCATCAAAGAGAATAAATGTTCGAATTTCAATTGATAACATAACATAACATATATATTTTTATAAGGAATTCTTCAAACACGTTTAGACTTTGTGTCTCTAAAAACTCTCGCTTTAATTGAAATGTGACTTTTTTGAATACATTTTTGTGGTAATCAATAAACCAAATTTCATCGGAATAAAGAATGTCCTGCACTTGTTTCGTATCCATAAATAACGTTAAGTCGGTCTCCTTAAGCTGTTTGATGTGTGTTTCAAACTAATAAACTAATCTGAAACTCGATATTTCAATCGATTTTAAATCATAAATCGATTTTAAATCATGAATATAAGGGTGAAATTGCCAGCAAGATAATATTGTTGTAAATACCAAATGTTTTCTGTGACTGTCATTACCCTTACTATGACAGCAATAGAATTGAAAATTGATTGGCATAACTGTAAAACAAGTTTGTGTGTTTGTGCTTACTCTGCCGTCATTATAATTTGGCCAAAGTGAAACGTATCGCAATTTTTGTCGCAAAATATTTGGAATAATACCATTTCTTTTAAGTCAATATTATATAAGAGAGTATCTAAAAACGATTTTTTTACTCTCGATTACTAAAGCAGCCGAAAAATTTATACAAGCATCATATGATCTATTAGTCTATCATACAACTTTACGCCTTATCACATTGAAATTGAGCTTAATATTCAGTCCAACAGAACTACTAAAACCTCAATTTTTGTTAACAATTTTATCTATAACAATATATTATAGACGTTGAAGATAGTATTCAAATGAGCTCTTTACAATTTCATTGTTTCTTTATTTCATTTCAAAATGGTAGCTACATTTTATTGTTTTGAATTCAATATTTCAATGTATTTTTTTATTTATTGTGAAATGTTACTGGATATGAGGTTTAGAAAGGATAAAATATAATTATTAAATAACGTAGTAAGTTGTGTTATTTTGGTCCTTACTTTTAAACCAATGAAATAGTAAAATACTTTCGTTAAGGGGTCAATGACGCGAATTTACCCGGTTTGTGTATATGACAATGGAAATGCAATCTTATCTGTTACTGCTAGAAGATCGAAAATTGCTAAATATAATAAATATGATGTAAGAGTGTAAAAGAGTTTATATGTCAATGTTAGTCCAGTAACGTTTTTTCAAAATTTAATAGTATCCATGTTTTTTTGTGTATAGTAAATGTTGTAAGACAATATTACAATTGAATATGCGGCTCCCCTCATGAATAAGAGTCCCGTTCTGACTCGAAACTAGTAGAGCTTTTCTCGGTTAATGCACCTAAGTTTTTTTTTAATTAATAATAATATTTTTTTTTAAATTCTATGGTGGTTTGTGAGTCGAGTCGCTTGCAAGTGAGGTCTTACAATAAAACATAAAATTATTCTGTATTATAAATAAATATAAATTAATTAATGTAGAAATGTTTAATAGTAAGTTAATGTTAAATCTTTAAGTGATCAAGGAATATATTTAGAAAATTTTTATTTACTTCTTAGTTTTATTAAATCTGATCCCTCATGTGTCGAATTAATATGGCCGCGTATACTTCACTGCTTGGCAAGCGTTTTTCAGTTGACTTTTGTTTCTATTTTCTTTGTGATTAGATTGATTTTTCATCTCCACTCGATCGTGTTAAGCACCTATAACATTATTTTACTGGAAACAGAAGTCTTCTGTAACGAATCAACTGATAAAGCTCTTCTAAAAATCTATCAAAACTGTAAAGAAGGAATCTAGATAAAAAAGAAAGAAACTAAAAATACAAACAATATAATTCGACACAAAGGGTCATACTGTATAAATGATATAAACATCACCCTGTATATAGGATCAGTTGGAGTAGGTAGCGGCGACTTCGCTAACGCCATAATATTGTGACTAAACATCTATTAATACTAATTTACTTTACGTTATTTGGTGACTTTAAAGCTATATTGACGTAAAATGCATGCTGTTTTAGTACTTATAAGCTATGATTTCTACTCAGATATGAATAATATTGCCTGCTACGGTTCTTCAGATTATATTGGGCCAAATATTGGCGCTAAAACAAATCCAACGCGTACAATAAAAATGTGAGTTTTTTAAACTTGGTACCAACATTCAGACCATTTTGTGGAGTCGACGTTATTTTAATTGCAGCTTAATCTTCCAATAAAACAAGTGGGTGTAAGCCCGCCGCTGATGGTGACTTTTAGTCACCTACTGTCATGTAACTCGCGCCTACTGAAAAGGTCAATAGTAAGTAGATTCCATAGTAAAATACAGGACAATAATGTTGCAAATAATTTCCACTTACACAAAATATGTGAAATAGTTTTTGATTTATGCGGGGGTCAAAAGTTGCTCGAAACGGTTCGTGTAATAAAACACAAGGTGCGGCTCGCCAGTTCTGTTTCTTTAACTTGGCTTGACACGCTACCGCTTATCTAGATAACTAACAAAAATCACAACCAGCGGCGGGCCTTAAACAGTTAAAAGATAATGTAGCTAATTGCTTTTTGCGGCTCTCAGTGTCAATGTAACAGTTAGTCCATTTTCGCTCTGAAGAACTTAAATAATAAACCAATTATTCCTCAAATTATAAAACATATTTGTACGTATGTAAAATCAAACATGATTATAATATTTTAACACGTGACTATTGCGTCAATGTAGCATTGTAAAATTTTAAGTCACAAACAAGCTATCCATAGAAGTAACGAAGACCTTCCTAGAATTGTTTCAAACTTTGCTTAGATGGATTTGCAGTTCTATAAGTTATGTTGGACTATTTGTCTTCATTTTTCTAGTAAATATGTTTAGTTTATTTGACTCGTATGTAAATATTAAATAAGTAAATCTTGCCTAAATTGTTGCGTGATTGTATAATTACTTCTTAGTTCGTTCTATGTATAGCTTGTAGTTTTTTATCTGACGACTATTATGTAATGCTTTATTTACTTGTGATATATTTGTATGTTTAAGAACGGTCGGTCGCGAAGTGAACGTTTTGTTGTGTATGTATGCTGAATGGTTGGTGACCATCAAACTGATTCCCAATTATAGAAATAAAGCCAAAGGAAATATTGAAAACTTTGTTTTATTTGCTTATCTCGAGAATTCTTAAATATACCTACATTGAACGCAATGTTCGCATAACGATGACATAGCAATTTTTACTGTTCTTATCTTAAACCTTTATCAATATTATTTTATACTTAAGTAGGAAGATCAACTGTAGTCAAATCTTAAGACTTTTTAAAGATCATTCATTGATACAAAACAGCAGTTTTTGCGTGCGTTTTTTTACGACGAAAAGTTCGATATTTTTATGTAATCAGTGACATTGAATCAGTCGCTTGTAAAGTGTTTCCGATGAAGCACGTGTGCTTCTAACTAAAATGTACAAATTCATATTACTTCTGGTGATAATCAAATGCTTATATTGTGAAGAATCAGGTCCCATTGTGATTACGAAAAAGGGGGCGATAAAAGGATTACCGGGGAAAGATGGCTTCATTATGTTTCTGGGCGTACCTTACGCTCTGATTGATGAAAGCAATCCATTCGGGGTGAGTTCATTCATTAATTTTTTGTTGTTTTATTTCATCCTAGCTTCTGCCCGCGTGCTAATCCAGGGTATTACGGGCAGTGGGTAGTCTTAGGGGTGTTTTTATTTCATAAATTATGTGTGGGATCATCTTTTAAGTGTGGGAGAGAGAAGTCATGGGGATTTAGGACGTTTATTCCCAGTCGCCCCCGCAAGGATTGCCACCGGAGGTAAATGGGAATAAAAATTCCCAGTCGCCTCCGGCGGCGACTGGGAACTAATTGCCCCCACTTCAGTTTCGCTGTACATTGCTTTCTCTGTCGTACAGAATAAAAGGATAAGGCAACTTATCCTGAACCTGCCTGAACCAACAGTCTTTTTTTATTATGGTTAATTATTGATTTTTCAATCACAGATAATTCGAGCATGAAATTTATGACTAATTTTTTTTTTATTTTTTTTTAACGTTGCCCCACACTAGGATTTTCTCCTGTGTTGTGGGTGCGTTTACAAACATACAATTTCACATACACATAACACCCAGACCCGAAACAACAATTTGTGGATCACACAAAGTGTTGTTCCGTGCGGGAATCGAACCCGCGACACGTCGCACGGCAGCCAGTTGCCCAGCCACCGCGCCAACTGTGCAGTCAAAATTTTAAAAATATATAATAAAAAAAAAAATTAAATGTTAAGTATTCCAGAAGTATATATTATTAGGTGTTATAAGGTTATACAAATGGTAAATCAATAATTGACCATAATAAAAAAAGACTGTTATCTATGAATATTGATATTTGCAGCCTTGTTTATAATAAGTATTTATGAAGAAATGATTACTATGTATTACTTTCCTAATTTAATTACTGTCTTTAAGAGTCTGATTATCTGTGATACAAAATACCAGTTTAAATGTTTAATTTTAACAAGTTTATTGATATCAAAATCAAAATAAATATTTCAATGCACTTTGGTCTTTTTTTAGAGACAGGCAGGTTTAGGATAAGTTGCCTTATCCTTTTATTCTGTACGATAGAGAAAGCAATGTACAGCGAAACTGAAGTGGGGGCAATGACTTCCCAGTCGCCGCCGGAGGCGACTGGGAATTTTTATTCCCATTTGCCTCCGGTGGCAATCCTTGCGGGGGCGACTGGGAATAAACGATTTAGGAATAGGGGATTGAGGATGGGGGTTGGCAAAAGGATTGGACTTCCGATAACCTCACTCACACTACGCAACAAAGTTTTCCGTGAGGCCGTGGTATCACTAGGGTCGAGCCGGCTCATTCGGAGCTGATACCGACCCTAGTGATACTACGGTCTCACAGGAATCCGTCGTGAAACAACCACAGCGTTATTTTTTCGCCATGTGGCTGAAGTTACCTGACCCTATTCTTCTCAAACCAAAAGGTAATAAGGCGTTTTGTAAATTTTGCATGACAACGCACTGGCAACTGCTCTGGTGTTATGGGTGCCAAATATAGCGGAGTCTTAACTTAAGCCATATTTGTTTAAATGGTTTTGCGGCGAGTAGTTTGTTTGCATACGCTTAATCTATCTTAGAGAGATAGATAGATTTGAGATAAATGACGAGTATATCATATCTAATACCGACCCCACGGATATCTTGTCAGTGTTGCGGGTGTCCATGGGAGGCGCTAGTTGCTTACCATCAGGTAATCGTCTACTCTTTGGCTACCCTATGCCTTAAAAAGTAGCTACCTACCTACTTATAACTATACTCCTAGTTTTTTTTTTGTGAGGGGAAAAATCATCAAATGACTTCTCCCGTCCAGGGTAGGGCGAGAGGGAGTGTCAGACTCTTACTGACTAAAACCCTCCCCGTTCCTTCTCCTGCTCTGGGCAGAGGTCGCGGTGCCTCATTGCGCTTACCCCGCAACCCCGACTGAACATCAGCCCTATAGGGCCTATTGGTGCTCTATTGGCTCTTTGAGGCGCGCGCGGAACGCTATGCGCCGTCCGCAGACCTGCGCTTACGGTGGCACGCCTAGTATGTTACTAACATACCTACATATAACTTTCATGTTTAAGCATAGGTACTTAGATCATCATAACATATTAGTGATCATGAAAGTACCTTGTAAAGTATTCCACCTTGTACCACAATCTGTATAAACACAAAATATACGGCAAGCTGTTAGATCTTTGTATTTTCTATCTTTATCTTATTTTGAATACTATATCTAAGAGATAGTTACCCAGCTACGCAAACGATAAAGTATTGTTATTGATACAACTACTATTTAAAACTAAGGAGAATAACGTTACCCAGAACATAAATCGAAGAGATCTTTTGTCGTGGGTATGTATGATCTTATAATTTATTAAATACGGATGGCGACAGGTTAGGTAAGTTAGGAATCTATAATTAGTTCGGCAGTTTGATAGTAAAAAATATAAGACACGTACTGTTGTATTTGCATAAAATGAATTTAAGGAATGGGCCGCGACTACGTTCACATAAAAAAAAAATTATACGTGACTAATATTTTTAATTCATCAAGAATGTATTAGCCAAAATAGAACATTATCATGTTTAGACTGAAATATAATCTTGACTTAAAAATTTGCAAACGCAAAAATGTACCGCGGGTCTGCTCGGAGCAAGACCTGCTGGTTGGTTTTTAGTAAGTAAGAATCTGATATTCTCGCTGTGGTTGACAGGGCGGGACTTTTTCGCGCCATTGTGATTTCTAACCTAAAAATCCATATTGTACTAAAATTGTTTAAATAAAATATTATGATTATTGGCAGCAACCGCAAAACTTAGTTCATAATGTAAACATAATGTGACCTCACTATTGCTTGCTAATTTTGGTTGCCAAACGGATGTACGGCTACAAATCAATCCACACAAAAACCATTTTAGGGTGATTCTCCGAAAAACCTTAACTTTTAATTAACAAGTCATTATCCTCCCAGGTTGTTAAACATCTTGTGAGTATTAAATTAAAGTAAGTAAGTAAGTATTAAGTTAAAAATTGTATTAAATTTGTTATTAAATTAAATCTGTTTTAATCAGCAGACTCGTTAATTTTCGGTTAAGGATAATGACATCATTAATTTTTATTGAATTGATGTGAAGAATCACCCTATCATGATCGCGCATTGCATGATTTTTCCGCACATTCAACGGTTAGTTTATACTGGTTTAAGTAGTTTTTTTTTTTTTGAGTGGGAAAGTCATTGATTATCTTCTTTCGCCCTGGAAGGCCAGAGGGAGTGTCGGATTCTTACTGGCGTGCGTTCGTGCAGCGGAATGTTGTTGAATTTAAAGATTTTAATTATGCAGATATTTAGTGTATGTCGTCGCATAATTGTGTATGGTAAAAAAAAATTGTGCACGCAACCATTGTGGAGAAATTAATCAAAAACTGATTCCGCTGGGCGAACGTTGTCCTGGCGGAACTTTTTTTAATCCTCTCTTTCTAGACTTTAGAAGAAAAGAGATGTATCCAAAAATTAGTGTGTACTTGTGTGTAATTGTGTATGTGTGAATAAAACTAGTGCATGCATAAACTTCGGAGAAATTCAAGTTTCCGCTACGCGAACGTTTGGCCATTAGCTAGTTTTCATATAAAGCGCTTACATAGAAAGCTGTAGATTTTTACATACGTTGTTTTGAATTTGTTTATATTTGGTTAAAAAACAGATTTAGAAAAAATCGTAGGGTTTAAAAGATAAAAATATAAACGTAAAATACGCTTATTAGGTCTTAGTTCTTAAAGTATGCACTTTGGGGTCTAGATTTTCACGTTTATACAAACCTTGTAAGTGTCTGCAACATGTTGCCAAGTATCAATGATGTTCCGTTAGTAATTAAATAGTTATAGGACAAATTTACCATGAATAGGTCACTGTTTACAAAGCAGTCAAATATCACGTCGTTCTAAATGAATTGCATGGTAAAATGTATGCCAATAATTAGTGTATTTATTCAACTATTCACATGCAAAATTTCATGTCATTAAATTCACATGCAAAATTTCATGTCAATATTTCAATTTTTTTTTTATTTATTGTGAAATGTTACTGGATATGAAGTTTAGAAAGGATAAAATATAATTATTAAATAATGTAGTAAGTCGTGTGATTTTGGTCCTTACTTCTAAACCAATGAAATAGTAAAATACGTTCTTGTTAAGGAGTCAATGACGCGTACTTATCCGGTTTGTGTATATGACAATGGAAATGCATTCTTATCTGTTACTGCTAGAAGATCGAAAATTGCTAAATATAATAAATATGATGTAAGAGTGTACATGAGTTTATATGTCAATGTTAGTGCAGTAACTTTTTTTCAAAATTTAATAATATTCATGTTTTTTTTTGTGTATAGTAACTATTGTAAGACAATATTAAAATTGAATATGCGGCTCCTCTCATTAATAAGAGTCCCGTTCTGACTCGAAACTAGTAGAGCTTTTCTCGGTTAATGCACCTAAGGTTTTTTTAATTAATAATAATATTTTTTTTTTAATTCTATGTTGGTTTGTGAGTCGAGTCGCTTGCAAGTGAGGTCTTACACTAAAACATTATAAAATTATTCTGTATTATAAATAAATATAAATTAATTAATGTAGAAATGTTTAATAGTAAGTTAATGTTAAATCTTTAAGTGATCAAGGAATATATTTAGAAAATTTTTATTTACTTCTTAGTTTTATTAAATCTGATACCTCATGTGTCGAATTAATATGGCCGCGTATACTTCACTGCTTGGCAAGCGTTTGTCAGTTAACTTTTGTCTCTATTTTCTATGTGAATAGGTTGATTTTTCATCTCCACTCGATCGTGTTAAGCACCTATAACATTATTTTACCGGAAACAGAAGTCTTCTGTAACGAATCAACTGATAAAGCTCTTCTAAAAATCTATCAAAACTGTAAAGAAGGAATCTAGATAAAAAAGAAAGAAACTAAAAATACAAACAATATAATTCGACACAAAGGGTCATACTGTATAAATGATATAAACATCACCCTGTATATAGGATCAG